TGCCCTTCAGGTCTGGAATTGAACCCACACCTGTGGTTTCCAGCCAAACAAAGTACAAGCATGTGAGTTGAACATTTACCTCAAGTAGACACACGTCCTGGAGAGAACAATCATGGGAGAAGGGAAGGGCTGCTTATGCACAGGGAGACAGCTCAGGGTGCAGGAGAGTATGGAGGGATGGACACTGGGAAGTGGTAACTATGTGGAGGAAGTGGGAGAGGAGCTGTTGCATTGTGGTAAACTGTGGTCAATGACATGAGACATAGTATATGTGAACTGCTGTATGGAGAGTGAATTTGCTCTGTAAATCTTCACCCAAATCACAATAAAAAAAAAGAAACTCACTGGGGTTGCTATTAGTTGGAATTGACTCGATGACAATGAGGTGAGGTATTCATACTAGTTTCTCTTGTCTGGATTTTTTTAAAGACTTAACAGTCTTCCTTCTCTTTTATAGTTTTATTCTATAAAAGTGACTTCTGATAATAGTTTATAGAATGTGATATTGAAATTTATAACTTCTGAAGTAGACAAAGATGTAAAATGTAGCCATGGAAGGATGTGAAGGTAAAACTGAAGAGAGCTAGGTGTTGAGTGTGGCTCCACACTAGGATCAATTTATATTGCTCCTGCCAAACTTGGTATTCCACAAATCAGAGGAGCTAAGAGGCTTTCAGTTCTCTGACTATCCCTGGAATTTGAATCAGCACCAAAGAGGGCCTAGTAATCAGTGGTAAGAGTCAGATATGCCCAAATCTGTTTCAGAATAGATTTAAATCCTCGGACTCATTGCAAACTTTTTCCCCAGCTGGAAAGAAAGAAAACCAGTTTGGGAATGGGAAATGCTAGCTTTTTGCTAACTTCCAGTTGGCTAAGTTTGATGATGATCTGTAAGAAGAATCAAAGTTTTAGGAACAAATATACAAATATTCAAAAATTTGTTGTTAGTTGCCATCATATTGGTTCTGACTCAGTGACCTTCTGTACAGCAGAACGAAGTACTGCCCAGTCCTGCAACTTCCTCATAATCACTCATAATCTTTGCTGTTTGAGACCATTGTGTCAAATCCATCTTATTGATTGTGTGTGTGTGTGTGTGTGTGTCTGTAATAGGCTTATAAAATGTAATTTAATGCTGTTTCTTATTAAAATGGTATAGATATAAATTGGTTATATTTACAATATTTTAAACTGTGTGTTGGATACTCTTGAGGTTGTTAGGAGGAAATTATAGCTTTAGTTAAGCTGATTTACATTTTACTTTACGAATAGTCTAGAAGCTGAAATTGGTGTTTGATCGTGGTTTTACCTTCCTTTCTGCTTGAAAGAAAATGAAAGTAAATCTAATTTCTAAGAGACATTAGATTTAGCTCTGTGTATCCACAGAGATTGATTTGAGTTATGAAACAGTGAAAATAATTGTCCTCATTATTCATCTTAGACTCAATATTTTTGTGCTAAAAAAAAAAATTACCATATATCTGGCAAATACATTTGTAAGTGATGTAAAATCAGTTAACTACTTGATTATCTAAACAGTATTTGAATAACAAATCGTAGACAGGATATACAGTGAAACCTGTGAGAGCCAGAACTCAACGGGACTGCCCTGTTTTTACCCCCCCTCACACAAGTTTACCAGTTTTGACAAAATACTGTCTCACTACTTTAATTCTCTATTGGTGGATAATATTTGCATTTTCCTGTTCTGGCAAGTTTCCATCTTGCATAGGTTTTATCTTTCACAGATTTTACTACAGTAACATACTTGCTTTAAGAACAAGTTGGAAGCATACCTAGTCCTTGGAGGAAATGATGTTCATGTAATTAAGTAACAGAATAAAAAGCAGTAGATTTTGAAATGTCTCCTTGTAATCTGAAAAAGGTTACATTTTTTTGTTACTTTCTCACTTTTTTGTACATTGAGTATTTCCTGAAGAGACAAAAGTAAAATAACCCAAATGTACAAATACATTTGAACTAATAGTGACACTTCTATGTGCCATACTACTGGGAAGTTGGGTGAGGGGTACAGTCACTATCCTAGATCCACATGCCATTGTAACATTTATTTCTTCTCAGTGCTGACAGTAGAGTAAAATTATGGGATGTGAGGAGAGCATCAGGATGTTTGCTCACCCTTGATCAACATAATGGGAAAAAGTCACAAGCTGTTGAATCAGGTAATGAAGAATGCATTATTGTAGACATATGACAATGATATTTTTTAATATTGAAATTTTTTAATTGAAGCTAAAAAATAAATATATATTGACAAACTATAAATTTTATGATAAAATTATTTACCATATATCAATTTCTAAATTTACATAAACTAAAATATGTTATCTTTCTTTAAGACACTAAAGGAATAGTAATATTTGTGGCCATTATGTCAACATAAACACTACAAGCTGTATCCATAAATGTGAGTCTGCTGTAATCCAGGTGATAAGGACCTCAGTTACATTTTTATAATAGAGTTTAATTTTGTATGTTAAAATTTTGATTTAGAATTAAATCTGGACTAGAAGTATATTAGAATGAAGTATAAAACCTATGATTGTTTTAGTAATCTTTTTTGATTAAATGAATCAGGCTATTGAGAATTATGCTTTCTCAGACTTTCTCATTTGAAAAGAGGTACAAATTTTGAATGGTACTGTTCTGGTTACCTAGTGCCACTCTGACAAGAATATACCACAAATGGGATGGCCCTAACAAACAGAAGTTTATTCTCTCACAATTTGGAGGCTTTAAGTCCAAGTTCAAAGTGCTAGGCTCTAGGGTCTGGGTGAAAGCCCCTCAACCTTGGGGTCCAGTTCTGCCTCCTGCTTCTGGCCCACTGGAGCTAGAGGCATTTTTGTACTCAGATAGTTGCTGGCTGCTGAGGCTGAGAAGCCCCAAGGTTGACAAGTCAAAAGGTACAGTCCTGATGTTACCAAACCACATGGCAGGCCATTAACTTAAGTCCGTTGTAAATCCCAAGGTCGGCAGAGCATGGCAGGCTGCTGAACAACAACACGGCTATATGCAGGGTGCAGGTGTGTCATAAGCTCGAGACCATTCCCAAAGCTGCTGCTTATATACAGGAAGCAGACCACATACCCAAAGGCAGCTACTCTGCTGCTTGTGGTAGATCCCACAATGGAGCTGATTGCCAGTCTCATCATGGGGAATAACTACCACCAGTTGCCCAGCCACTCAATCAGGCCCAGCTAAGTTGACACAAACATAACTACCACAAATACTAATACACTTACCCTTAACTTATTAAAAGTTTTTTTTTAATGTAAATCACTCCTATTACTGATATTTAATAGTTTATGGATTGATTTTCAGATTAAAAATTAGTTATTACTTTGAAATGATGAAAGGTGTTTGCTTTAAAATTTTAGTGTTTAACTGTGCACTTAATTGAATTTGATAGGACAGTTTACTCTCTGAAGAAAAATTATAATTGGCAGGATATTTTTCATTTTGATTTTCCTGTTTTCCTCTATTTTTATGGTTATAATTTATATAGCATATCATTATTCAAATCCAAAGAGTTGTTTTCTTTTAAATATAATCAATATACATATTTTAAGTAATTCAGGTAGTTGTTCTTTAATATGTTTGAATAGCTGTATCCTCAAACATTATATATGTGCTGAATACAAAAACAGATACACTGAACTGTATTTTTCATTGCAGCAAACACTGCTCATAATGGGAAGGTTAATGGCTTGTGTTTTACAAGTGATGGACTTCACCTCCTCACTGTTGGTACAGATAATCGAATGAGGCTCTGGAATAGTTCCAGTGGAGAAAACACACTGGTAAGAGATTTTAAGTACCTTTATCTTTTTTGATAGAAATTAAATAAATGGTGTCTTTCTGTGTATTTAGCTTGGTTTCGTGCCTTTGAATCATGGCTTTTTTTCCAGAGGTAAGAGAGGTGACAATGTGGGAGCTAGTGATTCTGAACTCAGGACAGTCCTTATCCACCCCAACCCCTGCCATATTCTTACCACTTTAGTGAGGAATCACTGCTCCCTAAGCCACTGTTCCTAATGGAAATGTGCCATGTCTCTCAAATATACTGGGAAAGAATAAAAGATTGAGAACTGATAGCCAAAAAGTAAAAGTTAAGTAATCAAATGTTATACTGTATATGACTGGTAAAGAAAAAAAATCCACAATGAATTGTTACAATACCAGTACTTTATTTAAAGTGGACTGAAGGTGTTTTTATGTGGTGATTATTTCCTAGTATTTTTTTAACGTATACCTCTTGTTTAATAACTTTCAAAATAAACTACCAAAAGTTTAGAATTCATGATAATAATAATAGCTAATATTTATTGAGGAGCTCTCGTAGCATAGTGCCTAAGGCACTTGACTGCTAACCAGAAGGCTAGCAGTTCAAACCCACCAGCCACTCCTCGGAAGGAAGGTTGGGCAAACTAACTTCGTAGTGATGTTGCCTCGGAAACCCAAGGAGGGGTTGCTATGAGTCAGGTCCGACTCGACGGCACATAACAACAACAACAACAATATTTATTGAGAGCTTATATGCCTTAACATTTAATATATGTGCTAACATACACTGTCTTATTTAATCATTACATGTATACTATGAAGATAGTTACTATTTATAACCATTTTATCCATGAGGGAAATGTGACAAGTTTGGTAGCTAGCCTGAGTTTACAGCTGGAAAACAACAGAGTTTACCCTAGACACTACTATCACTATAATCCTGATTACCCAAACCTCTTAATGCATTTATGTAGGTATTAATATTAATCATATTCCTTTCTTTACTCATGTGTTATGCTAATAATTCTCTTCCAGATGTTCTAGGGGTCACTTTCATTATTAATACTAATTTTACTATGAGGTCAAAATTGTTTCCATCTAGATTACTTTAAAGGAGCTCTGGTGGTGTAATGGTTAAGGCATTTAGCTGCAAACCCAAAGGTCAGTGGTTTGAACCTACCAGCTGGTTCATGGAAGAAAGATGAGGCAGTCTGCTTCTGTAAAGATTAACTGTCTTGGAAACCCAGTGGGAGTCACTGTGAGTCATAATTTTACTCTACGGCAATGAGTTTGGTTTGGAGAGATTCGGATCTGACTCATAGTGACCCCTCCTTGGGTCTCTGAGGCAGTGTCACTACGGAAGTGGATTGCCCAGTCTTCCTTCTGAGGAGTGGCTAGTGGGTTTGAACCGCCAGCCTTCTGGTTAGCAGTCAAATGCCTTAGGCACTGTGCCACCAGAGCTCCTAATCCTTCATACTCTTTATGAGATGTTTTTCTATTATGTCTCAGGCTACAAACTCAAAATGTTGTGAATTATAATTTAGTACATGGGCTACTGAAGCAAGCACAGTGAAATATAATTTAAAACCTTCCCTTTTTAATCTTGTACCATGTCCTTGATCAGATCACACCTTCCTTTTCTTGTTTTATTCATTTATTTAGTGAATATTTATTGAGCACTTACTAGTTACCTAGTGGCCAGTGGTTAAGTACTTGACTACTAACTGAAAGGTAAGTGGTTTGAACCCACCAGCTACTCCAAAGAAGAAAAGACCTGGCAATCTACTCCCATAAAGATTATAAGCAGGAAACCTTATGGGGCAGTTCTACTCTCTGTCACACACCACTCTGAGTCAGAATCATCTTGACCACATACAACAGTAACAGTATACAGCAGTAGGCAAACCATTAAAAAGTGTCCTCATACAGCTTATGTTTTAGGGAGAGGAAGAAAGACAAAAAATATATAAATCAATGGATGAATAAACTGATAAATAATGTTAGGTGGGCAGAATTCTGTGAGGAAACAAGCACAGCAAGAAAAGGAGCATGGGATATACTAGGAATTTGGGAGTCAGGGAAGGCATCACTGAGTAGGTGACATCTGTCTGAAGGAAATGCAGATATCTAGGAGTGTAGTATTTAAGCAGAGGAAGAAAAAAAGCCAAATACCCTGAGACAAGTATGTTTGGGATACTAGAAGAACAAGAAGGAGGTTCTTGTGAGCAAGTGGCAAAGTAATAGAAGATGAGACCTTAAGGAAGAGGAAGCCAGAGCAGATAGGCCTTCTAGGCCTCTTTAAGGGTTTAAACTTTTCCTCTAAGTGAAATGGAAAGCCACGGGAGGTTTTTGAGTAGAAAAATGACAGGATTGCTTTGGAAAAGTAGCTTGGTATGTGTGTTAAAGATTGATAGGATACTACGTAGGAGATCCTGGATAGCATGGGAGAACAATGTGGAACAAAACCCAAAATCATGAGGAGGAAAAAAAGGAGAGACCAGATTTGCTGGTCTGTTAGAGCCTGGTGGAACCACTGAAACTATGGCACCCGGCTGCCCTTCAGGTCTGGAACTGAACCCACTCCTGTGGCTTCCAGCCAAACAAAAGACAGGCATATGAGCTGAACATTTACATTAGGTAGATACACTCCTTGGAGAGACTGATTGTGGGAGTGTAGAAGGGCTGTGTATGCATAGGGAGACAGCTCGAGGTGCAGGAGTGCATGGGAGGGAAGGACACGGTAGAGGTGTCTATAGGGAGGAAGCGGGAGGAGAGCTATTGCACTGTGGGACATTGCAGTCAATGTCATGAGACAAAGTGTACAAAGTGAACTGTTGCATTGAAGATGAATTTGCTCTGTAAACTTTCACTTAAATCACAATAAAATTTTTTTAAAAAAAGATTAATGGGATAAATAAATTGGTATGAGTACATAAATTATTATTGTGATTTTATTCCATTTTCTTTCTTTATTGATGGTGATACTTTTGCTCTATGAATTTTTGCTAGTAAGTCCATATCTAAAATACTGTGTTTAGTGATGGATAATACATCTTAAAATAGAATTAATCAAAAATGACTCAGGTGATAAAGAGCCCAGAAACTCACCTATAAGGCACTTAAAGGAATTTGGGACATTTATCTTGGAAAGAGTAACTCTAGGGGGGAATCTCAGTACAATCTTCAGATATTTAAAGGGCTGTCAGACAGAATAGGAAATAAATTCCAGTCCTGCCATTTAATAATTTGAGGACTTTATGTAATTTATTTTAGGTAACATCTTGAAGTACTAAGTTCAGTGCCTTAGTTTCCTCATTTTATAAATCAGAAGTTTTGTCTGCCTAAAAAAGTAGTTGTGAAGGTAAAATAGATGTAAAGAGTAGTAATGTACCTGCTAAGATAACAGGCATGCCATAAATGGTAGCTATTTTATTGTATTGCCTTATTAAACCAGCTGCTGTCAGGATTTTGACTCATGCTAACCCTTTGTCAGAGTAGAACTGTGCCCCACAGCGTTTTCAATGACTTATTTTCAGAAGGAGATCACCAGGCCTATCTTCCAAGGCACTTCTGGATGGACTTAAACTTCTAGCCCTTCAGTTAGCAGCCAAATGTATTAACTGTTTACACCATCCAGGGACTCCACTGAACTGCTGTGGTTGTTAGGTGCCACTGAGTCCACTCTCTTAGTGACCCAATGTACACCAGAGCAAAAACACTGCCTAGTCTTGTGCCATCCTCAGAATTGTTGCATTGATATCAACTCTACTTTGCAGAGACAGCTCATTGAGTACCTTCCAGCCTGAGGGGTTTGTCTTCCTTTACTATTATCAGACAATGTTCCACTGCTATTCATAGGCTTTCAGTAGCCAATTTTTTCAGAAGTTGACCACTACATCCTTCTTCCTACTCTATCTTAGTCTGGAAGTTCAGTTGAAACATGTCCAACATGGGTGGCCTTACTGATATTTGCAATACCAGTGGCATAGCTTCCAGCATCACAGCAACACACAAGCTACCACAGTATGACAAACTGACAGTTAGTGGTGGACTGAACTACTTAGAAATCTTCAACTATACCATGATCCCTTACCCTTCCTTTCTGCTACATAGATTGCTGCCTTTGCTTTGGAATATACTTCTCTTTCCTGCGCTAGTTGCTTCTCAACTTCTAGAATTCATCTATGGCACAACCTCACTTTAACTTTTCCAGTCCAATTTAGATGACCCCAGAGTACCCTGTATTCACTTGCATTACAGTGTACTCCAATCATCACTACATTGAATGAAAGAAAAATAATCTTTAGCAATATGGCACAGTGGCTTTTTGTTTGTTTTTTATTACTGTAGTCTAGATTTAGTTTTTGATTGTGTCATTTACTAGCCAAAAGAATTTTGCCAAAAGGGCAAGGAGGCCACATCCTCTGACCTCCTCTAACTGCACAAGAGGAAGACAAAATCACTATCAGTAGCCCAAAGCCTATTACTGTGAGGCCAGATGAGGCCAGACATGCTACCTCCTTCCAGCCCTTTCACCAACTCTGCCACCAACCATTCCTCCCACAGCACCCACCACCTTTCAGCTGGGTTCAATAATTCACTGCAGTGGCCACACAGAACTCACGGATTTTGGGGTTTATTAGGGAAGCACCAGGCTACAATTCAAGTTCAGGAAAAACACTCAGTCTCTTTTAGCCCGCCATCTCTCAGCCAACAGTCTCTCACAGTCACTCTCTCTCAGCAATCTCTGTATGACTCTGTATGTCCCTCGGTGTCTCACTCAGCAATGCGTGTCTCTTGTGTCTCTTTCCCAGCAGCATGTATCTCTCAGGACCGCATGTCTCTTTCTGCTCAGCCAGCAGTCAGAGAGACTCTGCATCTAGGAGGCCTCCTTTTGAGCCTGGCAGAGTGGCCAAACTAACCAATCATAACATCAGAATTCTAAGCACCTGAAAGAGAGCAAACTTCCCAAAACATTACTTTATGCTGCTCCAACAGAAATACTCCAGGTGGATGATTTTAACAATCAGGAGCTACTCAGTTTCTCATAGCAAATTCCACCATGGAGTTTACAAAGATTTATGGCTAGAAAAGCCATACCAGGTAATTTACTACAGCACAACCTTGATCAAATTATGTAACCATTTCTAAGTGTTTTGTATGCTAATTGTACCTACTTCGTAGAATTATTTTGAACAGTACATGAAATAATGCATGTAAAACACTTAGCATATTGTTGGAAATGTATAGCAGGTATTACCATTCAATAAATGTTATCTGTTATTAACTAATTTGCCAAAAGGAGCAGTGGTGGTTCAGTGGTTGAATTCTTGCCTTCCATGTGTGAGACCTGGTTTAGATTCTTGGCCAGTGCACCTCAAGCATGGTCACCATCCTTCTGTCAGTTGAGGTTTGTGTGTTGCTGAACAGGTATCTCAGTGCTTTCAGACTAGGAAGAAAGGCCTGGTGATCTCCTTCCAAAAATCAGCCAGTGAAAACTCTATGGATCATGACAGTCCAGTCCACAACCAATCATGGGAACGGCACAGGATCAGGCAGCATTTTGTTTCATTGCATGTGGGGTACCCGTAAGTCAGAGGCCAACTCAACAGCAGCTAACAATATTATGCTGATAGTTGTTTGACAATTGAATGTGCTGCCTTAATGATGGAATCTCTGTATGACTCTAGGTGTTCGCTTAGAGACTAGAAGTGTATCTACCCTAGTGCAATAAAAGGGACTCATAAGATAGGGAATTGGATTTTCCATCATCCTATCCCAAGTCTCTGAAATCCTTCTCTATCAAAATAATTTCAAAGTCTCCCTTAAAGACCATCTTTAAAACATCATCATACACAAAAGTTGCCTGTACCTCTTCAATACTTTCTTAACAGTTTATAACATGCTATTTATCATGCTGCTCATGTCTTTTGTTACACATTTATATTCATAAAATGGAAACCTACCACAGTTTGTAACCCAGAATCAACACTTGATAAATGATAGATCCCCCTTCCTTCATCTTTTTTTATATGGAACTTCATTCCATATGCATTGAAAGAGTATTGATAGTTTATGAGCTCACAGGTGATGTGAACAAAGTAGTGATTTAAAAAGATGAATGTAATAGTTGCAGGGATTGGAGGGGGAAAGCCTAAACACAAAGTAACATTAATGAACTGGTTCAATATTAATATTTCATTCAACATTTTACAGTTAGCATTTGGGAAGGAATGTGGTATGGAAAGAACTTAGGTTTTATAGCTAAATGCTTTGTAGAAGTTCATCGTTTTTCCAGGGGAACAGAGACTTGCTACTTGAGAAGAAATGTTTTAAGTTTTTTCTCCCCTCACTTTATCATTCTCCATATTGTTGCATATATAGGAGTAAAATATGTAAATGAGGGATTTCACAGATATTACCAGCAGAAAGTAAACCTGACCATCAGTTTCTCTAGCCCAGTACTTCTCAGACTTTGATGAGCATACTGATTACCTAGAGAATTTTGTTAAAATGAAGATTCTAATTCAGTTGGGTTGGGGTATAGGGCCTGGGCTTCTACATTTCTGACTGCTCCATATAATGCCAGTACTGCTGCTCATCTATAAACTACATCTTTGAAGAATTTTTATTTTTGTTCCAAATACATATTTATGTAAAGTTGCAGTTACACTATATCCATTATTTGTGTTCTATACTTTTTTAACTTAACCTTTGCCCCTGTTTTCATAATGAGGATTTTTAATTGCTATATAAATCACAGAGTTAATATAACATTATTAGGAATTTACATCTATTCTCAGTTATTTTGCATTCTAGATTATGTTTCATTGAAGTCCTCTGGGCGTATATCTTTTTGCTATTTAATTATTTCTTTTTTTATTGCTATTTAATTATTTCTTTTTTTATTCCTATTTAATTATTTCTTGAAGATAAATTCCCAGGAGTAATACTAGGGCACGAAGTAAGAATATCTGTCTTTTGTTGCATAATACCATTTGACCTATTAGAAGGAATGATGAAATTATAGTGCCATCAATGGGCTTACCTCATTTGTACCAGTATTGAGTGTCATGTTGTTTAAATGTTTTTTTTTGCTAATATAGCAAAATTTTTGCTAAATTAGAATATAGTCTAAAATGATTCTTTAAGGTTACCATAATTGTATTTTCATTTCTTGCAAAATGTGAACATTTGCCCGGTTGTTGATTTTATATCTGTATTTCCTCTTATAAAAAATGTACATTCATAGTGTTAACTATGTTTCTTTCAGGACATTCATAATTTTTTTTTAATTTAAAAGAATCATTTATATAGTACATTATATTTGAAATAAATATTTCTCATAGTCTTTCTTTGTAATTCAGATTTAAGAAATGAATAATTATGATTTTACATCCTACAGGTGAACTATGGGAAAGTTTGTAATGACAGCAGGAAAGGATTGAAATTCACCGTCTCCTGCGGCTGCAGTTCAGAATTTGTTTTTGTACCATATGGTAGCACCATTGCTGTTTATACAATTTACTCAGGAGAACAAATAACTATGCTTAAGGGCCATTATAAGAGTGTTGACTGCTGTGTATTTCAGTCTCATTTCCAGGTAAGAATGATACTTAAGGAATAGTAGAATGTTCAGGTAGCTAGCTTTCCAAACTAGTTAGTTGTATATAAAAGAAGAAATTGTGATTTCATCCTGAGGAATTACACATTTAATGCACATTTGAGCTAGGGTTTATTTACTATAATACAGTATAGGTTTGTAGATGGCATAGGATTATGTATGAATCAATATAATACTGTAATACTTGACTGGGTTAAATTTTCTTTTGCATATAGGCTCCATGTATTTGGCAATTTGGCAGTTAAAATACTTTCTCACAAACAATCTTTTGGGAGAAAAGACAATTTTATGTATCTTATCTCAAGACATAGGGTGCTATGAATCAGAATTGACTTTCAGCACACACAATAACAATCTAAAGCTACAGTTTGTGTATCTTGCTTTATGTATATATGAGTATGTCAAAATTTTTGCTTATTCCTTAATTTCAGCTGATGGCTAATAAAAAGCTTGCTTTTAAGCTAATATAACTTACATCATTTCTTAGATACGCATGGCTTTTCTTTGTTTTTTGTAATATCTGGCCTTTTTCTTCCATCTTCTCAATGGACCAGATTTGTTTGTTTTCAGAAAACATTTGTACACATTACCTAATGTGCTCCTTTAAATGAGTCTCTGATAGAGCAACTAGTATTTTCTTTGTTTTATAGGTCAGGAAAGTTAGATTCATGAAAACTAAATACAGATAAAATTAGGGAATATTAGAGCTAACAGGTACTTTATCATTTGACTAAGTTCTTACATATTCATTAACATTTATTACTTAATTTGTACCCAACACTGTGCCTGTCCTAAGAACTCAGTTTTTAGTCAATACACACAACTATTGTTGTTGTCGTTATGTGCCATCGAGTCAAACCCGACTCATAGCGACCCCTCCTTGGGTTTCCGAGGCAGTATCACTACATCACTACAGAAGTAGGATTGCCCAACCTTCCTTCCGAGGAATGGCTGGTGGGTTTGAACTGCCAGCCGTCTGGTTAGCAGGCAAGTATCTTAGCCACTATGCTACCAGAGCTCCTACACACAACTATAGTGGTATCCATTATTAAAATATTGACATATGTATCTTACTGGTTCATAAATAGCTGCTGCACAAAGTCCTCTAAATGAACTCCTCTAGCCTCAGACCCAAGGAGCTCTGGTAGCATAGTCCCTAAGGCACTTGACTGCTAACCAGAAGGCTGGCAGTTCAAACCCACCAGCCAGTCCTTGGAATGTTGATGGGGGCAATCTACTTCCACAGTGATACTGCCTCGGAAACCCAAGGAGGGGTCGCTATGAGTCGGGTCCGACTCGACGGCACATAACAACAACAAGCCTCAGACCCTTCCTTGGAACCTCCTAGACCGTACCTCAACCCAGTAACTAAGAGACCTCCAGAACTCTTTTCCAACACTCTAGCCAGTATTTCTTGTGTTTGGCCACTGTCCTAAAAGACATTTGTTGAATATCTTTTGTATTGCTTCTAGAAGAAGGAAACTAAAGCACCAGAGAGGTGATATGTCTTGCCTCAAACATAAATTGTCAAGTAGCTTTTGAAAGAACAAGATTCTCCATGTAAAGAAAATTTTAGAATACTGTGCCTATTTTCTTTTCCAGGGTTAATTAGAGATCAAGCTAAGATTTTAACCCAGATAGTATGACTATAAATTAATCTTTTCCACCAAGGAAGAGTTTCCTAAGTAGTTTGGTGTGGATTATTGATTTATAGATTATAAATGTGCTAAGATAAGGATGTACCCATTCCAAAGAAAGGTGATCCCACAGATTGTGGAAATTATAGAACAATATCATTAATATTGCACGCAAGTAAGATCTTACTGAAGATAATTCAAAAATGTTTGCAGCGGTATATTGACAGAGAACTTCCAGAGGTGCAAGCTGGATTCAGAAGAGGACGTGGAACAAGGGATATCATAGCTGTTGTCAGATGGATCTTGGCTCAAGGCAAAGAATACCAGAAAGATGTCTACTTGTGTTTTATTAACTATGCAAAGGCATTTGATTGTGTGGATCATGACAAATTATGGATAACATTGAGAAGAATGGGAATTCCCGAGCACTTGATTGTACTCATGAGAAACCTGTACCTTGACCAGGAGGCTGTCGTTCAAACGGAACAAGGGGACACTGCATGGTTTAAAATCAGGAAGGAAGTGTATCAGGGTTGTATCCTTTCCCCATACTTATTCAATCTATATGCTGAGCAAATAATCCGAGAAGCTGGACTATATGAAGAAAAACATGGTATCAGGATTGGAGGAAGAATCATTAACAACCTGAGATACGCAGATGATACAACTTTGCTTGCTGAAAGTGAGGATGACTTGAGGCACTAACTGATGAAGGTTGAAGAATACAGTCTGCAGTATGGATTACATCTCAATATAAAGAAAACAAAAATCCTCACAACTGGACCAATGAGCAACATCACAATAAATGGAGAGAAGATTGAGGTTGTCAAAGAATTCACGTTGCTTGGTTCTACAATCGATGCCAATGGAAGCAGCAGTCAGGACATTAGACGACGTGTAGCATTGGGAAAGTCAACCGCAAAGGAACTCTTTCAAGTGCTAAGGAGCAAGGATGTCTCCTTGAGGACTAAGGTGCGCCTGACACAAGCCATGATATTTCCAATTGCCTCGTATGCATGTGAGAGCTGGACAATGAAAAAGGAAGACCGAAAAAGAGTCGATGCTTTTGAGTTGTGGTGCTGGTGAAGAATGCTAAAAGTACCATGGACTGCTAAAAGAACTAACAGATCTGTCCTGGAGGAAGTGCACCCGAAATGCTCCTTGGAAGCAAGAATGGCCAGACTTCGTCTCACCTATTTTGGTCATGTTGTCAGAAGGGACCATTCCTTGGAGAAGGATGTCATGCTTGGTAGGGTGGAGGGCCAATGAAAGAGGGGAAGACCTTCAACGAGATGGATTGACACAGTGGCTGCGATGATGGGCTCAAGTATAGCAGGGATCGTGGAGCTGGTGCAGGATCGGGCAGTGTTTCGTTCTGCTGTGCATGGGGTCGCTATGAGTCAGAAACGACTCGACGGCACCTAACAACAACAACAAGATAAGGATTCCCCATAGTCCTTGGAATACTTGGGACTGGGCTAGGTCAGCTAGTGGCTTGGGGTCAGTTGCCTCCTGACAAATACCATTTTCTGTTTGTGCTACTAACTCAAAAAGGTTTGAATCACTGACGCACTGCATCTGATGTTGAAGCACTACAGCAAAAAGTCTTTAACTCTAACCCTATTTATCTGTTGCGATTTCTGAAAGGAAAGCAATTATAAATCTCAAATGAAGAGAAGTAGTATTTTTATACTCATTTAGCAGAAAACCCTTTTCCAAATTAAGTACTGCATAAAACTATTTGAAAATATAATTGATATTTATAGAAATTTATCATAAATATAAAGATTGGATAAGTTACACTCAAAATATTCATGTACTAAAACTATCCATAGCATATTACTGGCTTTTTCTTGTGCAACTGCCTATCACACTGTGACCAATAAACTAATCATATGAGGCTGAATTTTGATGGCTTTTGATTGAATGCAATATACATATTCTGAAATAATTCAAGAGCTAACTGACATTTACATGAGAACATATGGAAGGCATTAATTTTGTTTAATAGAGTATAGCCTTCTTAATCAAAAATCCATATACAAGAAATTCAGCCATACAGCTAGAAACATTATACTGAAACATACCTGCTCAAAAGCAAGTAAAGCCATCAGTGGTTTTTGGTATTTATTCACTTTTGCTATATAATTTGCTTGCATGTACCCTATTTTCTGTTCTATTTTTAAATATTTAAAAATATTCTGTTAAAATCTAACATTTGAGTAATCCTAGAGTTCCTCATAACACAGTCTATGAACAATTGTACTAATTTATACATAAGGGTGTTAGCAGAAATAGCTCTCCAAAGATTTGGTTTTATATCTGACCCCATGTATTTTGGGGAACTTTTCCAATCACAGTAAAGAAAAAAAAAATCACGTACTTTATATCCAATATATTAAATATTATTTTATCTTAATTAAAATATGTGATCTTAAATTTCAAGCTCTAGTCCCTGAATGTATACTGACCAAAAGCCCCTGGTCATTTTACTAGAGTGTGTGTTTTAGTGGCAACCCAAGGAGGGGTCACTATGAGTCTGTCTGAGTCAACAGCACATAACAACAACAACATGCTTTAGTGGGAAGCAAATAGTCAGCAGTCAGATATCATCTATTACATTTTATATCTTTACCTCATAAGAAATTTTTTCAGAAGGTTGCAATACTGGAAAAAAAAGGGGAGGGAGGGGGGGAGTAGGGGGTTTCTTCACTAAAACAATTTTTAAATGAATGCCACAAGTTCAGCTTGTTCTTGTTGTGGTTTGATGCCATCAAGTTAATTTAGACTCATAGCAACCCTGTGTACAACAGAATAAGACATTACTCAGTCCTGCGTCATCCTCACAGTTGTTGCTATTCTTGAGCCCATTGTTGAAGCCACTGTTGTCAGACATCTCACTGAGTGTCTTCCCTTTTTTCACTGACCCTTTACCCAGCATGATATCTTTCTCCAGGGATTGGTCAATTCTGAAAACATGACCAAAGTATGAGAGAGAAAATCTGGCTATTCTCACTTCTAAGGAGCGTTCAGGTTATCTTTCCTCCAAGACAGATTTATGCATTCTTCTAGCAGTCTATGATACGGTCAGTATTCTTGACCACAGCACCACAATTCAAATGTATCAATTCTTTTGTGATCTTCCTTCTTCATTGTCCAGCTCTCACATGCATGTGAGGATATTAAAATTACTATGGCTTGAGTCAGACACACTTACAGTCTTCAAAGTGACATCTTTGCTCTTTAACACTGTAAAGAGATCTTTTGCAGGAGATTTGCCCAATGCAATACATCTTTTGATTTCTTGACTGTTGCTTCCATTGAATGTGGTTCAAAGTAAAATGAAGTCCTTGACAAGTTCAGTCTTTTCTCCATTTATAAATATATCGATTATTAGTCCACTTGTGAGAATTTTTGTTTTGTTTATGTTGAGGTGCAGTCCATACTAAGGCTATAGTCTTTAATCTCCACCAGTAAATGCTTCAACTCTTCTTCACGTTCAGCAAGCAAGGATGTGCCAGTATGCCAACATGTATATTGCATGTTGTTAATGAGCTTCCTCCAATCCTGAGCTACATTCTTCTTCATATGGGTAAGCATCTCAGATCATACAGATTGAATACGTATGGTGAAGGGGTATAACCCTGATGCATACCTTTCCTGATTTTAAACCACACAGTATCCCCTTGTTCTATTCAGAAAATTGCCTCTTGGTCTATGTACAGGATCCTCATGAGCACAATTAAGTGTTTTGGAATTCCTATTCTTCACAATGTTATCCATAATTTCTTATAATCCACACAGTCAAATTACCTTTGCATATGCAATAAAACACAGGCAAACATCTTTCTGGTATTCTTTGCTTTCAGCCAAGATCCATCTGATACTAGCAGTGATATCTGTTTTTCTACATACTCATCTGAATCTAGCTTGAATTTCTGACAGTTCACTGTCAATATATTGCTGCAACCATTTTTTTAATATCTTCAGCAAAATTTTACTTATGTGTGATGTTAACAATATGGTTCGGTAATTCTCGCATCCTGTAGGATCACATTCTTTGGAATGAGTACAAATATGGATCTTTTCCAGTCAGCTGGCCAGGTAGCTGTCTTCAAAATCTCTTGGCATAAACAAGTAAACACTTCCAGTGCTGCAACTGTTTACTGAAACATCTCAGTGGGTATTCTATGAATTCCTGTAGCCTTGTTTTGTGCCGGTTCTTTCATTGTAGCTTGGACTTCTTCCTTCAATACCATTAGTTCTTAATCATAAGCTACCTCCTAAAATGGTTGAACATGTAACCAGTTCTTTTTTGGTACAGTGATTCTGTGTGTTCCTTCTATCTACTTTTGATGTTTTCTGCATTGTTTAATATTTTTCCCATAGAATCCTTTAATGTCTCATCTTGAGGCTTGAATTTTTTCTTCAGTTCTGTCAGCTAGAGAAATGCCAAGCATGTTCTTCTACTTTGATTTTCCAATTCCAAGTCTTTGCATATTTCATTGTAATATTTTTCTTTGTGCTCTTGAGCTACCCTTTGAAATCTTCTGTTCAAGAGCAAGACTGATGGGAAAGAAATTTTAAAAAGAGGAGAGAAAGAAATTAAAAAAAAAAAAAGGGAGGAAGAGGGAAGAACTAAGAAGATGGAAAAAAGTAAAAGTAAATACCAGGGGGAAAGAAGAGCAGCACAGTATTGGTACAAGCAGTAGCTGTCAAACACGACTTCAGTGAGAACCCGGCACTTGCTCCGCAGAAGGCACATCGCCAACCTCGAAGGCCTCGGACATTGCTGACTGCAGAGATGGAGATGGTGGGGGATGTGGTGCCAACTCTGCAGGGTCACACACTACCTACAGAGTTAGTCACTGCAGACCGTGGGGGTGGAGAAACTGATTAACAGGATTTGAAAAAAAAAAAGGGGAGAGGAAAAAGGAGAAACGTGAAAGAGGTAATAAGGAGGAGGAAAGGAAAAGAAATGGAAAAAAAAGAAAAAGCAGCAGCAGCATAGAACTGTTGCAAGCACTAGCCACCAAACATGGCCACAGTGGAATCATGGCATTCATTCTGTGGGACAGTGCACTACCAACTGTAGAGGGGTGGGAATCGGTGATGCTGACTGAGAAAGTGGTGGGGCCAGGCATTTGCTCTGTGGGATCAAAACAAAAAGAAAACATTGAGGGGTCGAGGGAAGACCTGAGAAGAAAGAAACAGAAAGAGAAAGGAAAAAAAATTCAGCATTGGTCATCCAGAGGTTGTGCAGGATAGAGGGGGAGGAGAGTACAATTCTCTGGTCACCAAACCCCCCAGTGTAGTTGCCAGTGTAGTACTGGGTGAGCGTATCTGATTATCTGCTTCCTGTCCAATCTTAATGCTGCTTGCAGTAATTTACAATGGCCAGGCTTTGCCTGGCCTGTTGGCAATTCACTGCTCCATACGCCTCCTTATTAGCTGTTTGCATTCAATTTATTCTGCTAATTGGTATATGGTCTACTTTATCCTTTACTTTAAAGCTCTGGATTCCGGGATTGCCACCTGGTATCTGTTTCACTTGATTTTTCATGTTTTTATTATAGAGGGTCTGAAAAGTAGTATATCTGCCTAGTCCACCATCTTGGCCACATCTCTTTCACATGGTTTCTTCACTGAAGTTTTTATGAAAGCTCAGTTATTGACAGAAAAAGACAACTTGTATTTTTTCTTTTCCCTTTTTCTTTTTCTTTCCCCCCTCCATGATGACAATTGAACTATATGGCTACTGTGATTCCACCTGAGCTCTGGTGGTGTAGTGGCTGCTAACCAGAAGGTGTGCAGTTCGAACCTACCAGCTGATTTGCAGAAGGAAGATGAGGCAAACTACTTGTGTAGATTATAGCCTTGGAAACCCAATGGGATTCACTATGAGTTGGAATTGCCTTGATGGCAGTGGGTTTGATTTGGGTGGTTGCACTAGGATGTTGAGTGTGTTTGTAAAATCTTCATACCATTAATAACCTTACATTCTGAGCTCTTATGTATCCTAATAAGGAGCTCTGGTGGTATAGTGGTTAAGGCATTGGGCTACTAACCAAAAGGTTGGTGGTTTGAACCTACCAGCTGCTCCACAGAAGGTGGGGGAATCTCCTTCCGTAAAGATTTACTGCCTTAGAAACCCAGTGGAGGTTGGTATGAGTCAGAATCAATCCAATGGCAGTGATTTTTTTGGTGCATGAACTCTCATGGCATAGTGCCTAAGGCATTTGACTGTAACCAGAAGACTGGCGGTTCAAACCCACCAGCCACTCCTCGGAAGGAAGGTTGGGCAATCTACTTCTGTAGTGATACCGCCTCGGAAACCCAAGGAGTCGCTAAGAGTCAGATCTGACTCAACAGCAGTGAGTTTGGTTTTTTATCCTAATACTCTTTTTAAATACAAATAAAGCTCTCCTGCATATTAGAAAAGAAAAGTCTTCATTCTAGTTTCTATGTGGAGTAGAAATAGAATTTTTTTTTTTTATTTTAAGAGCTTGTTTTACATTCAACATAACGCATACATTTAGTTTCATTCCCCATTCGCCATGTCCAACCCTAACCCAGCCTCGTCCCCTCCCTACCCTGTAACCCTTCCCCTGTACCCCTCATATTTATGCACTCCTGTTTGTCTTGCAATTCCTCAGTTTGAATGTTGCTCCTCTGGTGTACCATGGTCCATTGCTGTAAGGGATGTATTACCATAGAGTATATGGGTGCATCATCCTGGGTTGAGTGGTCTGCGTGTACATCTTGTTAACTGTTGGGCTGAGAGCCCGCCCCTGGGGGTGAGTTTTATTCCAGGTGCAGAATATATTCCAGGGCCATAGTATTGGGAGTCTCGCCAGATTTCATCTGACCAGTAATTCTGGTCATTACTGAGTTTTTGAGTTTTGTTCCATGTTTTCCCTCCCACTCTATCCAGGATCTCCAGATTTGATCCTTCCCTGAGTGGTTGGCATTGGTAGCCGGGCACCATCTAGTTCTTCTGGTCTTGAGGGCCATCATGTCCTAGGGCTGATTGCTTCTAAATGCCCTTTTTTCTTTCTTTCTTTCTTTCTTTTTTTAATTGTGTTCTTCACTTCCGATGCTAGGAGACCATTAGCTGCATCTTAGATGGCCGCTTGAAAGCTTTTGAGGCCCCAGTCACTACTCACCGATGTAGGATGTGGAGCAACACTTTTATGTATTTTGTTGTGCCAATTGAGTCTGGTGTCCCCCAGTACTATGGTCCTGAGGCAGTAGATCTATTGGATCTCTCTCCCTTAGTGTCTGGTTGTCTGTGAGGGATTACTCTGTGTCTGTCTTCTGTTGTTTCTGTAAGGACTGAAGGTATTTTTTATCACGGGTGTCTGTGCAAGATTAGCCTTGGCTGAATCTGTCCTTGGTCTAGAGTTTACTTCTTTTCACTGACCCCGTCTGATCATCTCAGGTGTTTATGTGTTTATCTGTATAGCCTAGTGTTTGGTGTTAATGACAGTGGGGCATTGTGGACACATTGGTTGGTATTAGCATCTGTCGTCTATCTCTTATGTGCACAATTTGGTGTCCTCCCATAAAAAGAATTTATCTAATTTAATAATCATTTTAAATTGATCTTGTTCATTTCAGACTTTGTTACCAGCTTTAAATTGCTTCATGATTACATCTTTTCTGTCTATGTTATAGGAACTTTATAGTGGTAGCAGAGACTGCAATATTCTTGCTTGGATACCAGCCTTATATGAACCAGTTCCTGATGATGATGAGGTAAATATTATTTGTATAACTTGTATAAACCAAAAAACTCACTGTCATTGAGTCAATTCCAACTCATAGCGACCCCATTGGGTTTCCAAAGCTGTGACTCTTTCGGGAAGCAAGTTGCCTCATCCTTCTTTCACAGAACAGCTGGTTGGTTCAAATCACCAACATTTTGGTTAGCAGCCAAGTGCCTTAACCACTACACCACCAGAGTACCTTATAAATTATATGTTGTTGTTGTTGTTTTTGTTTGCCGTCGAGTCGCCCCGACTCATAGCAACCCCTCCTTGGGTTTCCGAGGCAGTATCACTATGGAAGTAGGATTGCCCAACCTTCCTTCCGAGGAGTGGCTGGTGGGTTTGAACTGCCAGCCTTCTGGTGAGCAGTCAAGTGCCTTAGGCACTATGTTATATAGTGACTTCTAAATCATAAGGAATGAAGTTTTGTTAACTTTTTATGGGAATTTGTATGCATTTATTGCTGTTTTTCTGATTGTAATAACAATTAGCCTGTTATAACACATCTGAAAACTCAGAACGTGGGAAGAACATAAAAGTATTGCAGTTAAAGTAATCACTATTTACATTTTTATTTATTTCATGTTTTTCTCTCTGCGTTTTTTTAATCATAATTAATATTATATTTTAACATACAAGTTGGTATGCTACTTTTCTCACTTACCATTGTGTAGTAAGCCTTTTCCATGTCATTGATAACCATTTGTAACCATCATTTTTAATAATGTAGTCTGTCATTTATTTACCATAGTTTGCTCATATATTTCACTCTTTGGAGAAATTCCTGCTGATTATTATAAAAAATATTAACATAATAATTAAATTATTGTTTCTCATTATTTCTGTAAATAGGTTGCCTTGAAATAGAATTATTTCGAGTTATCTGTATGAACGTTTTTAACCTCTTTTTTTACATTGTATTATTTATACCAATGTACACTCATACCAGCAGTCTGATAATGTCTCTCTTAGAATGTGGCTTGTTACTACTTTTATCCTATTGATCTAGCAATGAAAATGTTAGGTTTCATTTAATTTTAATTACATAGACTATAAAATAATTATATTTACCATTAATGACTTGCTTTTATTGATTTTTTAAACTGTGTCTACTACATATTTTGGGAGCTCTGGTAGCATAGTAGCTAAAAGCACTTGACTGCTAACCAGAAGGCTGGCGGTTCAAACCCACCAGCCACTCCTCGGAAGGAAGGTTGGGCAGTCGTACTTCCGTAGTGATAACTGCCTCGGAAACCCAAGGAGGGGTCGCTATGAGTCGGGGCCGACTCGACGGCACATAACAACAACTACATATTTTTATAACTCTTGGTGGGTAGATTGCTAAAATGTTTTAATCTATTTATAATGTAGAGTTTATGAAGCATTACTTACAATCTAACCCAGTACACATTAATATCTCATAAAATTATATAGTATACATCTTTCTTAAGTCATTTTTTTTTATTGGGGAAGGCTAGAATTTTTGTCTATGAAGAAATAAGATGACAAATCAAGAAACAAGACTCTATTGATAACTAATTGTGGAATCTTTACAAGTCTCTAGATTTCTGGAGCTGTAGTGATTATTACTGGTGATTGGGATTATTAGTGAGTGGATTATTATTGGTGTTTGGAATACGAAAGTTGGAAACAAAGAATGATAAGTAGTTGGAAAATAAGGCCTTGGTGATAGAAATGACACTAGAGGTCACATGATAAGAGTTTTGCGAGAGCAATGACTTATTATTGCAAATACCCTTTTTCAACAACATAAATGGCAGCTATACACATGGACTTGACCAGAATGAATACACAGGAATGAAATCGACTACCTCTATGGAAAGAGGTGATGGAGAAGGTCAATTATCATCAGTTAGAACAAAGCCAGCCACCACTGCAGAACAGACCATCAGTTGCTCATATGCAAGTTCAAGTTGAAGTTAAGCACATTAAAACAAGTCCATGAGAGCCAAAATATGACCTTGATTATATCCCTCCTGAATTTAGAGACCATCTGAAGAATAGATTTGCTGCATGGAATACCAGTGACCAAAAACTAGACACATTGTGGGATGACATCAAGAACATCATATGTGAAGAAAAAGGTGGTAAAGGAAGAAAAGACTAGAATGGATGTCAGAAGAGACTCTGAAACTTGTTCTTGAACAGAGAGTAACTACAGCAAATGGAAGAAATGACAAGATAAAAGAGCTGAACAGAAGATTTCAAAGAGCAGCTTGAGAAGACAAAGTCATTATAACGAATTAAATCTAATGAAATATGCAAAGACCTGGAGTTAGAAAACCAAAAGAGAATAACACACTCGGCATTTCTCAAGCTGAAAAAACTGAAGGAAAAATTCATGCCTCATGTTGCATCATTGACTGATTCTATGGGCAAAATATTGAGTGATGCAGGAAACCTCTAAAGAAGATGGAAGGAATATACAGTTATTGTACAAAAAAGAATTGATCTATGTTTAACTATTTTAGGAGTTAGCATATCATCAGGAACCAATGGTACTGAAGGAAGAAGTCCAAGCTGCACTAAAGAAATTCGCAAAAAACAAGGCTCCAGGAATTTACAGCATACCCATTGAAATGTTTCAAAAAATGAATGCAGTGCTGTACACACTTACTCATTTATGCCAAGAAATTTAGAAGATAGCTACATGGCCAACTGACTGGAAGAGATCGGTATTTGCCCATTCCAAAGAAAGGTAATCCAACAGAATGGAAATCATTGAACAATATCATTAATATCACACACAAGTAAAATTTTGCTGAAGATAACTCAAAAATGGTTGTACTAGTATATTGACAGGGAACTCCCAGAAATTCAAGCTGGAATCAGAAGAGGAATGAGGGATATCATTGCTGATGTCAGATGGATCTTGGCTAAGACCAAAGAATACCAGAAAGAGATTTACCTACGTTTTATTGACTATGCAAAGGCATTCGACTATGTAGATCATAAATTATGGATGATGTTTGGGTTACCTGGTGCTGCTCTGACAAAATTATATACAACAAATATGATGTCTTTAACAAACAAGGGTTTATTCTTAGAAGTTTTAGAGGCTAGAAGTCTGAGTTCATAGTACCAGGCTCTAGGGGCTGGGTGAAAGCCCCTTAACTTTGGTTTCAGCTCTGCCTCTGGCTCCCGACCCACTGAAGCTGGAAGCTTTCTTCACTTAAGCAGGTGCTGGCTGCTGAAGCTGACAAACCCAAGGTCGACAAGTAAATAGGCACAGTCCCAATACTGCCAAACCACACAGCAGGCCATTAATTCCAGTCCATCGTTGAAAGTCCCAAGATCAGCAGAGCATGGCAGGCTCATGCACATTTGGAAGTTGGACAGTGAATAAGGAAGACTGAAGAGTTGATGCATTTGAATATTGATGTTGGTGAAGGATAGTAAATGTTCCATGCATTGCCAGAAGAATGAACAAATTTGTCTTGGACAAAATACTGGAAATAGCTGGAATTATAAATATAATTCATAACATTTTCCTTATTATAATTAATATAAATAGCTGGAATTCTCCTTAGAAGCAAGAATGGCCAGAGTTTATCTCTTGTACTTTGGTCATGTTGTCAGAAGGGACCAATCCCTGGCAAAGATATCATCAGTACAGGGTCATTGAAAAAGGGGAAGACCCTCAACAGGATAGAGTGACAAAATGGGTGTGTTGAGGCTCTCAAGCAAAGCAATGATTATAAGGATGGCATAGGATCAGGCAATGTTTCATTCTTCTCTACATAGGATTGCTATGAGTCAGAACTGACTCAACAGCATCTAACAACAACATTTGTGAACAAGGATGAATAAGACATGATCCTTCCCCTTATGTGGTAGCATCTATATTTTTTTTTATTTTATGTCAAACAATAATAACATAAAGGCTTTCTAAAGGTGTTATCTTCCCTGCCAACGATTATTTTATTAAGCACTCTTAATCATCCTAATATATCTTAGTATCTTAGATACAAAAGTCTAGGGTCTAATAAGTAATATTTATATAATGTTTTAAAGTTGAAAATATACACAGTGATGTTAGAAATATTTTAGGTTAAACTTAACCAAGTCATACTATCTTTAAAAAGAAAGTGTCTTAAATGGAGGTGAATATAATTAGTGGAGCAACTTTGAAATTGTGAAAATATTTTTCATATATTCAGTACCTTTATGAAAATAGGACTGTCAGAAATCACATAGAAATGAATTTTTATAAGGGTGTTGATAACATTTATCAAAATATTTTTCATACCTAAATTTGCAACTGCTACAACTTAACTTCAGTGAAAAGCCAGTGAATTATTTTCTTTTGGCCCTAATCCAAATGAAAGAGAGAATGAAAGCACATGTTAATAAATTTTCAAGCAGCTGGCCTAATATCATGTGAATACTTCTAGATTTTATCACATACCTAATTTGCCTTATTATGGCTATATCACTTTTAGCATACATCTCTTTTAAATGACTGAGTCTTCTTAGAAAGCCTTATATGGTCACATCATTTGGTTCAGTAATTCATTTTGTATTATTATTTAATCACTGTGTCTTAATGATTAGGAATTACTATACATATTAAAACCACATTATTACCACTGTAAGCCATATTAAATAGTTTAACAGTCATTTACCAAATGAAAATAAATTAAATCTACACTCCTCGGAAGGAAAATTTTTTATTTAAGGAAGACTGGGCAATCTACTCCTATAGAGATACCATCTCGGAAACCCAAGGTGGGGTCGCTATGAGTTGAAATCGACTCAGCAGCAGTGAGTGACTGAGTATACCTGTATATAGGGAAGAGATTTTGGAAGAAAATGAAATTCCTTAATTTATAAAGGTAGTATATTACTCTGATGAGTAGTATATTACTCTGATGGGTAGTTGCAGTGATAATTTGAACTCCTTATCTAGTGGACCTTTTGTATATGAGAAATTAACCAAAATGAGTGGAAAATTAAATATGGAAGCCC